ACATGAAGCTCCTATCCCCATCTCAGAGTAAAAGCTCTATAAAATAGCAGTGGTAAAGAAGATGACTATAACACTTCACATTTTGCTGAGGTTCTTGGAATCTGACTCACAGTTTTTATCTGCTACTGTGCTGCCATTATGCTCTGAGGGCTGCAAAATCCTTATTGGTAAGCTAACCTGATTAAACCTTGCTCTCCTGTACTCAGCTGACTTTCTCCTTCAAACACTTACCAAAACACCTGCTAGGCATAACATATTTTATCACTCAGAGAATCCAGTCCTTATGACCACTTTAGCTTACTATCTGACTACTGATGGAGGAAGGGGGAACTGAGCAGAGCTTGGCTGATTCCCTGAATTGAGAGTATAGAGGTGGAAGTCCAAAGGCCAAGGTGGCTAAAGTTCACAGTGAAGAGAACCTGATGGGAGAGCTACATGGAGAGGGTACTCCGAGGTCTCACAGTCCCCTTGATCAGTAAACTAAGAACTGATCTTACAAGAATGTGAAGAAATGACCCAAAAATAGAAAAAAAAAAAAAAACCTCACTCAAGAGGATTAAAAGGAACAATCCCTACATGCTAGTTCACATGCTAACAGGAATAGCAGATGATCCTGACAGCCAGAGTGGAAAACCTAATTCACAGGGTATCAGGTGAAAGACTCAGAAGGGTCTTTCCACAGTGTGGGAAAAAATTAACTCTCACTAAATGATGATCTGGTCCCACCCAACAAAGCTTAAAAGAACAAACTGCTCCCAAGTAACTGAACCCTGTCCCAGAGCAAAGTGTAAGAATGTTTATAAGAATACAAATAAGCACTCAACAAGGTGAAATTCAAAATGTCTGGCATCCTTTTACAACTTAGGCATGTAAAGAAACAAGAAAACAGAAACCATAATGAGGAGAAAAAGTAATCAAAACCAACCCCCACTGACATTAACATTAGTATTACCCAGCAAAGATATGAAAAGTTATTATAACTGTGTCCCAGGGGAAGTTAGAAAATATTTTGAATTGAATAAAATAAAACAAAGCGCATCAAAATGCAAGATGCAGCTAACACAGTGGTTAGGTGGACATTCATAGCAATAAATGCTGGTTGAAAAGAAAGGTGCTGAAACAACAAATAAAGCCCCCAACTTAAGAAACAACAAAAGTAAGAGCAAATAATCCTAAAGCAAGCAAAAGGAAGACATAATAAATGTAATAATTAATAAATTGAAAACAAAAATAATAGAACAACATCAATGACATGAAATCTGGTTCTTTGAAAAAATGAATAAAATTGATAGACTACTAGTCAGACTGATAAAGAAAAACAGAAAGAGGACATCAAATAATAACATTAGAAATGAAAGAGGAGCCCTGGCTGGACAGGAGCTCAGTAGATTGAGTGCCAACCTGTAAACCCTAAAGTGTCACTGATTCCATTTCCCGTCAGGGCACATGCCTGGGTTGCTGGCCAGGTCCCCAGTAGGGGCAAACAAGAGACTATCACACATTGATGTTTCTCTTCCTCTCTCCCTCCCTTCCCCTCTGTCTAAAAATACAATAAATAAAACCTTTTTAAAAAATGAAACAGCAGATATCACTACAAATTCCACAGACATTGAAATGATAATGAAATACTATGAACAATTCTATGCACATAAATTCAAAAACTTAGAAATAATGAACCAATTTTTTTAGCATTTTTATATTGTTCTATTACAGTTGTCCCAATATACTCCCTTTGCTCTCCCTGTTCCGCCCATCTGCCACCCCCACAGTCATTTCCCACCCTGTTGTCCATGTTCATGGGTCATTTATACTTGTTCTTTAACTAGGCCTTTCCCTTTCTTTTCCTCCCTTATCCGTACCCCGCCCCGCCCCTCCCCCCGCCCCCCGTCCCTGGTACCTGTCAATCTGCTTCTCGTTTCCATGCCCCGGGTTCTATTTTGCTCATTTGTTTGTTGTACATTAGGTTCCGTTTATAGGTGAGATCATATGGTATTTGTCTTTCGTTTCCTGGCTTATTTCACTTAGCATAATAGTCTCCAGTTCCATCCATCCTGTTGAGAAAGGTAGGAGTTCCTTCTTTCTTTTTACTGCGTAGTATTTCATTGTGTAAATGTACCACTGTTTTTTGATCCACTCATTTACTGATGGGCACTTAGGCTGTTTCCAGCATTTGGCTATTATAAGTAGCACTGTTAGGAACATAGGGGCACCTAGGGTTCTTTTGAATTGGTGTTTCAGGATTCTTAGGGTATAATCTTAGCCGTGGAATCGCTGGATTGAAAGGCAGTTGCACTTTTAGTTATTTGTGGAAATTCCATACTGTTTTCCAATGAATCAATTTCTTAAAAGTGAAAAAAAAAACTATCAAAATTCACCCAAGAAGAAAAATATAACCTGAATAATCTTATATTTATTTCTAGAAATTGAATTCATCATGAAAAATCAATGTCTAAAAATCAAATTAATAGTTAAAAAACAAAAAACATGTTAAGGTCAGATGACTTCACGGGTAAATTCTACCAAACATTTAAAGATGAAATGAAACTAATACTAAACATTCTTTTCCAGAAAACAGAAGAGGAGAAAACACTTTCCAACTTATTCTATGAGGTCAGAATTACCTTTATGCCAAAACCAGAAAAAGTCAGTACAAGAAAACTACAGACCAATATTCTTCATGAACCTAACTACAAAACTTCTCAACAGAATATTAGCACATCAAATCCACAATGAATAATAAGAAAAACATATCACAACCAAATGGGGTTTGTATCAAGAATGTTAAATCTGTTAAGATTAAAAAATAATCCATGTAATCTATAATATCAAAAGACTAGAGAAGAAACACCACATGAGCATATACTTCATACAAAAAAATTGATAAAATTCAATGTTTATTCATGATTAAAAAAACACTCAACAAACTTGAAATAGAAGAAAACTTCATCAACTTGATAAAGGGTATCATGCTTAATGATAAAAGACTGAATACTTACTCCTACAATTGGGAACAAGACAAGAATGTCTACTTTTATCACTTCTTTTCAACATCATACTGAAAGTTCTGCATAGGGCAATAAAGCAAGAAGCAGAAATAAAAGACATTCAGCTCAGAAAAGAAGAAATAAAACCGCCTATTCACAGATGATATGATTGTCTATGTAGAAAATCCCAATAAATCTATGAGAAAAAAACCCTTTAGCTCTAATAAATGAGTTTAGTATGATAATAGGATTCAAAGTAATATTAAAAAAATCAACTTTGCAAAAAATCCAAGTCTAATTAAAAAGTAGGCAGAGAATCTAAATAGACATTTCTTTTTCCAAAGAAGACATATAAATGGCCAACACGTACAGAAAAAGATGCTCAACCTCATTGATCTCAGGATAAAATGCACAATGAAATATAACCTCACACCTATTAGAATGTTATTATCAAAAAAGACAAGAAATAGCAAGTATTGTCAAGTATGTGCACCGTGGGTGGGAATGTAAATTGGTGCAGCCACTATGGAAACAGTACTGAGGTTCCTCAAAAAACTAAAAATTGAACTAGCATTTTTTTTGTCACTGCCCTACTCCCTCTACATGATCCCCTGGTACTTTCTTCATTCTTATGGGGGAAAATTCAGCATGTTACAGGACTGTTACACTCCAACCCATTTCCCCACAAAATGGTCAGATGCTTGAGGACAAGGACTGGGTCTCATCTTTTCCCAGTGCCAAGTACTGTGCCTGGCACTGAGTAATGCTGTAATCACATTTGTTGGAATGAAATTAGAATAACTGATACGAACTTAAAGCATCTGTGTAACTTCCACTTTTCACTTCATGGTCATAGTGTGCTATGGAGACAGCTTCCGTCATGAGTGTATTTTTGAGCAGTTTATTAAAGATTCTTATTAGGACTTTACTCTGTAAAAAGCACTGCAAGGGGTGGCTGTGGTGGAAGGTGGGGTGCAGTGTGAGTTTACAAGAAGAGGACAGGCACATACAGTGAAGGAAGCTAATAATAGGCAAGATTAATGCTCCTGAGATCTTGACTCCTTTTAATATTTATTCTAATACCATTTTCCCTCTTTAATAGAATATGAGAGTCATTCAGATTTCAATAATTCAGAATATATTCCTGACTTGAATTATTGTAGTTCCCTAACCACATTTGCTATCTCCAGAATAATTTCTTGCTTTCTGCTTTGAGCCTCCATTAGTTGTCTTTTTTCTTTCTACCCAGTTCTTCTCACCCACAAGCTTTCTTTTGCTGTATCATTATACTTGTCTTTAAAAATATTTTTGGATTTTAAGTATCCATGTTACACTACTTAATCTGAAAAGACTTTGTAATGCTGTCATTCAAACTTTGAGTAAAACCATGAAAGTGTCATCTCTCAGGACCTAAATCAAAGACTCAACCTGTGCAGGCATTTGGACAACACACTGCTGCAGGGATGTGATGGCATTTCAAAAGTATCTGGAGAGCCCTGACTGACGTGGCTTAGTGAGGTGGGCATCATCCCATGGACCAAAAGGCCACCAGTCCGGTTCCCAGTCAGGGTACATGCCGGGGCTGTGGGCCAGGTCCCCAGTGCGAGGGGATTTTCTCTCTCTCTCTTTCTCCCTCCATTCCCCTCTCTCTAAAAATAAATAAATAAAATCTTTTTATTTTTTAAGAGCTTCAGAGGAGTTTTTTTTGTTCTGTTTTAATATTTATTGTATTTTTTCCATTATTATTTAGTCCCCTTATTCCTCCTGCCCCCCAGCAATCACCACGTTGTTGTCCATGTCCATGATAAATAAAACCTTTTTTTTTTAAGTATTTGGAGATAAAAATGTCTTGAAAGTTTTTAAGAGATGGGGCTTCTTATTTATTTTACTTTTGTAGTTTTACTTTCTATAGTGAAAAGTCATAGTTTTGCATTTGAGTGCCGCACATTGTTCTTTGACTCATATTTCTCCCAAGCTAATCAAAGTGTATGAGAATGGCAACCTGGGTGCTGCATGAAACACTCAACGAGCGTTACAAATTTGCTTGTCATCCTTGTGCAAGGGCCATGCTAATCTTCTCTGTATCATTCCATCTCTAGTATATGAGCTGCCAAAGGGAGCACCGGAGCTTTTTATTTTTAAGACCAGTCATAAACTATAGTTTTTAAGAAAAACAATATGATCTTGAGCTTGATTTTTTAAAAATGTGTCATACTGAAGTGTCCAAAGTTTTTGTGATCATGTATATCCAACACTAAAATGTTTCAAGCCTGCTCAAATTTATGTATATTTACTTATTTATAAATTATATGTATTTATAATTATATATGTATGTTAAGTTCCTTTGGCATATTTCTGGTCGCAGAAACATCTATAGACTTCTAAATAAAGACTCTAAAGGCTTCTAGTACTCAACATTGAAATAAATGTGAGCTATATACACATTTAAGAAGGATGAGTGGATAAAAACAATAATTATTTTCCAACCCACTTGTTCCATTTCAGAGTGACCTGCGGTGAGAGTCTGTCCCACCAGCTCTGGGCATAAGGCAGGACCTACCCTGAACGGGAAGCCCCTCCAGCGCAGGGCCACTCACGCTCACTGACACTCACTCAGATGGGGACAATGGAGGCACACCTTCACCTCACGTGCACATCTTTGGGGTGTAGGAGGAAGCTGGAGTCCCCAAGGAAACCTTCCCAGACACAGGGAAAATGTGCAAACTCCACACAGACAGTGCCTTGCCAGGGAGCAATTAATTTTTTTCTGTCTCATTGATCTTACAATGAATCATTATTGGAGGGCATAGTGTTTCTTGGGGATCTGCTATGTTGGCAGGGGTAACCAGAGAAGGCCTCAATTGAGTCGAAGCAACATCCATGAAAATAACTGGGGGAGAATGTTCTAGGCAGGGAGGACAGGAAGCACAAAAGCCCTAAAGCAGCATGCTGGGCTAGAGGGACAGAAACAAGAAAGGGTAGCAAGAGCTGAAAGGTGACAGGGCCAGATCAGGCAGTGCCCCGTGGGCCTTGGTGGCGTTTGGCTTTACTCTGAGTGAGACAGAAGCCTCTGCAGAGTTTAGAGCACCAAAGTGGCACAGGTTAACAAAGTCTGCAAATGTACTACATGAGAAATCTGGACAAAGCTGGGAATGTCTATCTTAAAATGCTCTCAGGAGGACCCCATAGGGCTGTGATATCTGGAAAGCCTGTTTAAATGTCTGGACAAGTACCACTGACTTTGAACCTGCCAGTTATGACAGCTCAGCCCTGTGGTGCCTGCTCTGTCACAGATTCTCCTATCTCCATTCTTCACCCTGAAATCCATGGTGATAGCTCTCCCACATCAAATCACCACCAGCAGCACCAAAAGACTTTGTCTCCTGAGGCAAGTGCTCCAGGCAAGTGCTCCTCCAAAAAAAATCACATTAGCCTTAAAAAGAACCCAAATACAAACCAATCTTTGCCACTGTTTCTGCCTGGTTTTCAAAATTGTTGGGTTGTGTTGTCAAAACAATCCAGTCTCAAAGTGCCTGTGTTGTGAGCATAACCCCATCCAAATGACAAGACCACTTTGTTCTGGCATGAGCCTGCCTGAGACCAGACATCCCCCTTTTGCGTTCAGGGAGAAGCATTTCTTACACTTCTCTAGTCTCCAAAGGGGGCCCAATGTCCACTGAATATATTTTTTTTGCCTACTGGATATTCCACATGACCCACATATGATCCTTGCCCTCGTGGAATGTAAGAGCAGAGCTTTATATTTACCTAATGGGAAGGCGATATTGGCTTCACCAGTACTGCCACCTCTCCTGGGTTGGTATTGAGTGCCTGGGAGAAGGTGATGAAAAGATGGTGGGATTTTCAAGGAAACCTGGCAGATGAGCAAGTGCTACACAAAGTAGCACAAGTACCAACCCCTCCACTTTGCAGGTCAGAAAACCACTGGTCAAGGGAAACCTTTAAAAAGACCCCAGTTTAGATTCATTGTAATTAATCAACAATGGTCAAACACAGTTCCAGGTTTTGGCTGTAGCTATACTTAGGGCCATCTTTAGGAATAGGTGAATACCAGTGTGATTTCACATATTGGAAAGGCAGAGTCTTCTAAATTCTACAATTACACATCCAATAAACTTCAAGTTTCTCCTTTGAATTAAAATGTTAATATCTTTGGGTAAACATAATAGGAAATTATTTATGTCTTGTGTCTCTTATTATGAATGATATTAGAAACCTTCCAATTAAAAAAAATCTTTCCTTAATGTTATCATTTACTTTTAGAGAAAGAGCATTTAAAAAAAATAACCCACTTACACACAAGGTGGGTGGAGGTGGATTGAGTAGAAGGACACTGAGCTTTTAAGATGGGAAGAAAGGAATGTGAGGAAAAGATTGCCTGGAGGTTATGTGGAACCACCTTGACACACATTGCATTTTGGCCTAGAGCCTGTCTTGTTCACATTTTTTCAGTGTCAAATGGCTAAGTGATTTGTATTTTACAATGAAAGGTAGGCTAAGTGAAAATTATCCTTCACTCTCTGATAATGGACAAGCCATTATACTTTTAAAAAATCAAACATAAATCAAACCCAAATTTTATCATTCAGTCTTTACTTTTCAAGGCTGTTTATGAAAAGACCCTCCTACCATCAATCAAACATCTTTTTGTTCTTTTTCTATTAAAATGAGTGTGAAAATGCAGGCATCTAGGGTACCAGGCAGATGAGAACAAGTTGAAAACACAACCAAGTTAAAGATCATCAAGGACAACAAATACTTAGCATGAGGAAAATAATAGAGAGGAGTGAGGGTTGTGGCATGCTGGGTAGACCATGGCTGCTTCTAGGGAACAGCCACACAGCTCCTTCCCATCATGAGAAAGACCCCGAACCCCAGGTCTTCTGATTTCTCAACAGAGTCAGAAACACCCAGCGCCTGGCATGAAGTACCTTGATTGATAAATGTTGACATTTAACTTCTTACAATTTTTATTAATTTATTTTTAAATGCTGTATATATATCTTTAATAGTTTATTTTTATTATATTTTTTCCATTACCATTTATCCCCCTTATGCCCTCTTCCACCTCCACCCACCCCTCTCCCCACCACTGCAATCATCACCCTATTCTCCATGTCCATGAGTTCTTTTTCCTTTTTTTCCTCAATCCCTCCACCTTCCAACACAACTCCCTATCCTGCCAAAAATTGTCAGCCTGCTCTCTATCTATGAGTCTTTCTCTATTTTGCTGTTAGTTCGATTTGTTCATTAGATCTCACATATGAGTGAAATCTATGGCATTTGCCTTTTTCTGACTGGCTTATTTCACTTAGCATCTATGCTGTTGCAAAGCGTAAAATTTTCTTCTTTATTACAGCTAAGTGGTTTTCTATTGTGTAAATGTACCACAAATGTCATATCCACTCATCTACTGATGGACACTTGGGCTGGATCCAATTCTTGGCTACTGTTAATAACACTGCAATGGACATAGGGTCACATATATTCTTTCAATTTAGTGTTTCAGGTTTCTTCAGATAAATTCCCTGAAGTGGAATTGCTGGGTAATAAGGCAGTTCAATTTTTTTTTGAGGTAACTCCATACTGCCTTCCACAGTGGCTGCACCAATGTGCATTCCCACCAATAGTGCACTAGGTTTTCCCTTTCTCCATATCCTCCCCAGCACTTGTTGATTTTTTGATAACAGCCATTCTAACAGGTGCCAGGTGATATCTCATTGTAGTTTTAATTTGCATTTCTCTGATGATTAGTGACCTTGGGCATCTTTCCATATGGCTATTAGCCATCTGTATGTTCTCTTTGGAGGAGTGACTATTCAGGTCCTTTGCCCATTTTTTAATTGGATTATTTGTAGATTTGGGGGGTTTTTTTGGTGTTGAGTTTGATACATTCTTTATAAATTTTAGGTATGAACCCCTTATCAGATATATCAGCTAATATGTTCTCCCACTCAGTGGGTTGTCTTTTCATTTTGTTGATGGTTACATTTGTTGTGCAAAAACCTTTCATTGATGTTGTCCCATTTGTTTATTTTTTCTTTTGTTCCCCTTGCCTGAGGAGATATATCAAAAAAAATATTGCTACAAACAATGTCTGAGCTTTTACTGCCTATGTTTTCTTCTAGGATTTTTATGGTTTCAAGTCTAATATTTAAGGATTTGATCCACTTTGAACTTATCTGTGTGTGTGGCATGAGAAGGTAGTCTAGTTTCATCTTTCTGCACATATCTCTCCGATTTTCCCAACACCATTTGTTGAATAAGCTGTCTTTAGCTCATTGAATACTTTCACATCCTATGTCAAATATTAATTAGCTATAAAGGCATGGATTTATTTCTGGACTCTCTGTTCTGGTCCATTGCTCTATGTTTTTATGCCACTACCATGCTGTTTTGATCACTATAGCTTACAATATAGTTTGATATTAGGTAGCATGATTTCTCCAATTTTGTTCCTTTTTCTCAAGATTGCTTTGCTATTCAGGGTCTTTTGTGGTTCCCTACAAATTTTTATAGTATTTTTTTTTTTTAGTTCTGTGAAATACATCATTGGTATCTTGATAGAAATTGCATTGAATCTATTGATTGCTTTGGATAGTATGGACATTTTAATGATGTTAATTCTCCCTATCCATGAACATGATATATGTTTCCATTTATTTATATCTTCTTCAATTTCTTTCTCTAGTGTCTTATCATTTTCTGAGTACAGGTCTTTTACACTCCTGGTTAAATTTATTCCTAGGTATTTTATTCTTTAGATGCAATTGTAAATGGGATTGTTTCCTTAATTTCCTTTTCTGATAGTTTTTAAGAACTGAACATTGTGTGAGCTGATCATAGGTATCTTTGGCCAGCCAAGTTTGACTTATTGGTGTCCACTTTGCTATCTCTGCTTTAAGGTATGGGTTGGATAACTATAGCCCTCAGGCCAAATCCAGCCTCTGTCCATTTTTATAAATAAAGTTTTATTGGAACATAAAAGTTCCTGTTCATTTATGTATTGCCTTCTGCTGCTTTCATGCTAATAACATCAGAGTTGTGTATAGCTGTATCAAATACAGCCTGTAAAGCCTTAAATATTTGCTATTTTGTCTTT